TTTAAAGGAAAGGTATAGGAGGAAAACACACGAACACATGGAAATAGGCTCATATATTGCTTCTCAGTGTGAACTTAATAAAAAATGTCCATTAGATCCTTCAGCACAATGTGTACATAATATTTAAAGATCACTTAATATTTTCAGCCCCTACATATCTAAATATTTGGTACTGCGTCTAACTACTTCAACAGTCATAAATTACTGCTACAAAAATCACTGGAAAAACTGGCGAGTTAAAACACGAACCTTTCAAAGATGGCTGTCTTCTGGGTTGTAGTGCTGTGGAATCTCGTAAAGTTTACAAACGCTTCAGAAGTCCTTACTGCCTCCACCATCAGGGCAAAGAGTAAGACACACACATGGAAACAGTCCGAGTTATACGAGACCGACAGTCGAGGCAAAGTCTTGGCCTGACCAGTGGGAATTGAGTCAAAATCAGGCAAAGGCCTGGGAACCAAGAGTGGGGGGAATGTCACAGCCTGGCTGGCACGATGGAAACAGACACAAGACAGAGAGAAACACGTAAGTGGCCACTGTGGATTCCTCACCTTAACAAAGGCAAAATCAACAATTTGCCTAATACAGTTAATACTTTCAGCAAGGGATTTTGAAACACGTTCCACAAAGCCAGAATGCATTACTTTCAGAACAAATTTTTATGTTTTCCTGAGCATGATGGTGTCCCATTCATCACTCATCCTTTATTACCACTCTCCACGTGTTATGATCATTTCATTTCATCATCCCACCTATGGTGATGTTCAAACTGTTTTGGCCAACAAACATAAAGTTCCACATCAGTAGTTGTAAGAATATTTTTCATAACAGTGATGATCTTTTCCACTGTTAAAGGAACATCTTCTGCACAAAATGCCTCAACCCCAATATACCACAAATCATCTTTCTTTAGTTGTTTCCGTAAATCACACAGACATTTTTCAAAATGAATGTAAGAGAATGCATCATCCTTTCTCTTTCTGACTATAAGTCCATACAGAACTTCATCCTTCTTGACCAAACGAATGACACCACCGACTGTTTTAGGTTGTTTTCGATAATCCAGTAAAAAGTTAAACTTTTTGTCGAGATCTTTCCCACATTCATCCACATCCCCATCTTCACTGCCAAAAAATACAAGAGCTGTATCTTTCGCAACCGAAGCCAAATTATAGCGTACATGTGTAACTGGAAGAGACCTTTTACTTCTTGAATTGTGACTGTCATCAGCTTTCTCGGGCTGAAAAACGAAAACCAACAATTTTAGTAACAGTTATGATCCTTATAATTTCATTTTTTTATGCACATATGCACGTGCCCACACACTCTCTTTGTACAGAATGTTTCTAAATTGTGCCATAAATGACAGCAGAGCTTCAGGATGTCAGTACAAGTCAAAAAGGTCCAGTGAACATGGGTGTGAAATGCTTCTGTAAACAGTCACACGGGGTAAAAGTTCAAGAGCATATTATGTTGCAAGTATGATGTATGAACCTGTGTTTGCCCGTTCAAGACATTTTCCCCATATCTTTCCACATCCCTGCCAATAGCAATTTCTAACTCTTTTAATGATATATAGTTGACATTCATAGTAGGTTTGGTTCGATTTCCGTTCTCAGAATCCCATTTAGTGAGGTACACTACTCACTACGCACTGTCCTCGTTCCTGTGGTGAAGCAGAAATCCTCGCAGACCCTGCGTGGCAGGGGTCCTGAGGACCTATGGGAGCTCTCAGGTATCAGGGCAAATGTATAGTGATCTAAATTGTTACCCATGACTGGGGAGGGCAGATTGATTCTCCTACAACACTGTGTCATTTGAATAGTGCGTGTCCTACTCTGTGGATGCACGTGACATTGACTTTTTTGTTTTTTCTCCAATCTCTTAATCGTCTTTTCTATCTCTTCCATAATGTTATGGATTATCAGAATACCAAGGGAGAGAAACTACCTGGCAAGCTACCCAATGCAATTTTCCTGTATCAGTATGAAACATTCAGCAAAAGTAACATACAGCTATAATAACGGATATAACGAGTAACGGTTGTAACGAGCACTCTTCCTTGGTCCCTTGGATCTCGTTACAACCGAGTTTGTAATTGGAACTGGGACTAAGCCCAATACCATTTAGTAAGGTAACCAGCAGACCACTAGTCAGTATAATAATATTGTGTTTAAACTAGTGGAAGAGGTCATTGCTGATTTCAGATGTTTCAGAGGTATGAGCTGTCTCCACCATCAGGGATATAAAGATTATGAGTTAATGTAATGCTGTCAGAGATGGGCACTAGTCAACATACAGCAATGTGATGTCACACCATTTTTGGAGTTCCTTGAAGAACTATAAATTTAGTCATCATCATTAGCTCTACAGCCCTGTGTGAGCCCTGGCCTTCTTCAAAAGCTTCTTCCATTCTTCCTCATTCAGAGACAATCCGTTTGCCAGTCCGCCGTGAATGAGTCCATCCAGCAATTGCTTCATCTGATTTTTCGAACAAGGTACATTTTACAGGGCGGGGTTATCAACCCCACACCCATCATCCTTAAGCATATAGTAACCCTATAATGACCGAATTAATTTTCATTAAATCTGGCATGGATGTTATACCACTGGATGCTACAACTACTTTGCACTTTTTAATCCCCAAGATGATGGATGCTCAAACTAGTAAGGTGGTAGGATGATCCTTTTGTGAAATTGTCATGACATGGTTATTACAGTTCCCTTGGCTCCCATGGCTACTGCAGTCAGCATCAATACCATCATTACTTTTGTTGCCATGCTTACCAACGAGGTAATAAGACAAATGAGATAAAAATAAATAAGAAATTTACACTAATATTGCACAAATTTCCATGGTTACCAAGATGTGAGCAGTGTTCTTAACACATCTTAACAGTCGTGCTATGCACACACTTGCTGACTTGCTTATCTACCTGAACTCGTATCCATATACCAGCTTACCAAGCACATTATTTTAATATGAACTACAGAAATAGAACTAGCCAATGTAATCTCACCTGGTTGAAGTTGTAAACTGTTATTCTGATGTCAAGATCAGAAAATATTTCTTCAATCTTTCGTTTCACATTACCCCAATCCAACCTGTCTAATCCACAGCCAATTCTTGGCATAGCAAGCTGTTTCACACCAGATGAAACACAATGATCTCTCATTTTCTTCAGTGAAGAAACCAGGTCACTTAAAGAAGGCTTTTCGTTACTATATTTCTTAGTTACAAGATAGTAAATGAATCGACCCTCATGCTCCAGGACAGCAACCTGACCAACACCTGCCCCTTGCTGCAACAGTTCAGGAACTCTTCTGAAAGTAATGTAACAATATCAAATGTTGAAATGTTATAATTTTATGTGATTTTAACAATCTATAAGCTTGTGTAAAGACGGTGAATAAAAGTATTGTATTGAAGAACACAAGCATGACGCAATTAAGATATAAGGAGATTTACTTGAAACATATTTCTAGATAGAGTTTGCAAATACAAGCAAATATTCTGCCACTTACTCCCAAATGAAACAATGTTGTGATATACTCTAAATAATTTAAAATGGACTATTTTGGCTTGTCATAATTTCAATAGTATAAAATGCACTCTCAAAACAATCTGTTCACTTGGCATGTGTTGATGTTGGAAGCATCCAACTGTAACTTTCTACTGATTACACTTTTACAAGATCAGAAAATCCTATGTCACTCCTGCAGAACACTTCCTGACTTTATTAATTCAACCATTTTCTTTCTGAACATTAAAATTAATTCACATGTCACTACAACAACATAGTTAATTCAGAGCAGAGTATATTACGTGAAATGTTTCAAAAAGATGGAAACACAGGTTTCCTCTAATGAATAGCCTCATGTACCCTTGCCAATGTTTCCCGATAACAATGCTGGTTCACTGATTGACCTTGTTCAACAAGCTTGTTCTTTCCACATTTTCATCTGTTTGGTCTTTTTCTTAGCATCAGTACCATAAGCCTCTGTTAACATCTGTAGAGTTTCACTCACACTTTTGCATTACTTTGCACTAAATTTTATGTTAATGCATTGTTCCAACAACCTATCACTCATTTTTCCACTGAGACAAAAAACACAAACTTGTATAATAACTCTGCCACTGCTTCACTACTACTGCCTTATTTGCCACTACCGACACATAACACGTCGCTGCTCAGTTAATGCTCACTCATTATTCGATGTGACATATATCTAGGTTTTCCAGGAACATGATTGTCACACCTTGTACAGTGGTGTGAACTGTTCTAGATAATTTCTCAGCTAAAGTTTGTTATATATGCAAATAAAAGCAGCAGACATTAATGAAGTCTTTTTTTACGTACCAAATTTTTGTACAGTAAGCCATATTTTAGGAAATTGATAACCATATATTTTGGTTGCACATGGCTACATTAGTTATATTGTACACTGGACTGATCTCTCTCTCTCTCTCTCTCTCTCTCTACATACATACATACTCACTCACTCTATGGTGCGGAAAATTATTTGAAAAGTCAATTGTATACTTGGTTTGCCAAAGAACAGCCCATTTTCTTTATGGAAGCAGTATGTTCATCACTGTGTTAACAAAATTTCGCTAGCTGCATCCAGTTCGCTCCATCAAATCCTATTTCCCTAAGGTCTATCTAAATGTTATCGTCTCACTTATGCCTAGGTCTTCCCAGCAGTCTATCCCCTCTCCCCTCCCCCATGTGTGCTGCATGACAGGTCTTCCCAGCAGTCTCTACCCTCCCCCCATGTGTGCTGCATGACGCACCCACCATGACTCAATGTAATCGCCCTAACAGTATCAGGTGAGAAGTACAGGCCATGAAGCTCATCATTATGCAAATTTCTCCATTACCCATCTCCCTCGCACCCATACAGCACAAATGGCAAAATTACACTTTTGTATATTTTATTCTTTAGTGCTTTTTTTTTTACATGAGACAGGACAAAAGATTTTGGAATGAATGATAGCAAGCATTCCCTGAATTTAATCTGCTCTTGATTTCATAATGAGTGCCATTCTGACTTGTTAGTGTCACATTTTCAAACAATTTATTAGCTATCCTTATATTCTGGTTCTGTCCTGAATTCTGATGCTGGGACATGACCATATACTTTGTCTTTTCTGCACTTATTACTAGTCCAACATCCCTACTAGTCCTCAAGAGGGTTTCTGTGTTCACTTTTATAGTATTTATATTAACGCTCAGCAGATTAATTTCAGAATAGACCAAAGGCCTATGTGTCTCATTCAATTCCAAACTGCCCTAATTTTCTTAGACTATCCTCATGGTATATTCCAAGACAAAACTGAAAAGCAGCAGTGACAGGGCATGTCTTGTTTCAGACAAATGTTCACTTACACAAATTTTGCTAGAGGTTATACTGAAACAGGTTTTAATTAGCCTGACTAGGTTCTTAGATATGCCAAATTCAAGCAAAATACTGTCAAGAGCTACTCTTTTAACTGAGCCACAAGCTTTCTTGAAGTCTATAAATAGTTGATGGACTGTCCAATTGTATTCCCAGTTTTTATGTAGTATCTGGCAAATGTAGAAAATGTTATCAGTTGTAGATCTATTATGACAACCCACACTGATGATCTCCAGTAATTTCATCGGCATATGGAGTCAGCCTAATCAGAATAATGTTGGATAAAATTTTGTAGGCAGATAATAAGAGAGATTATTATTACAGTTTTTTCACCCTTCCTATGAATTGGTAACACAGGAATGATATAAACCACGAAAGAGATTTCACTGTATGCAATTCATCATATAACAGAGACTTCACAGAAAACAATTATTAATTTTACTTCTTACTACCCAACTATGTACTTTAATGACAACATAAGTGAATGCATGATATATGATACACATGCACTAGTCAAAGTGACCCGAGTTCATAGTGCATATGTTCTGGCTGATGACGCTGTGCATAGTACAGTGAAACATCCAGTGAAGGAATGTGATTCAGCAGTAAAAAAGATGTGTTGATGGTATTTTAATTCAGTGTATCATTGTTATGCATGGAAATGTCTAAAACCTACTTAAATAATAGCATGCATTTAACTTCCAAACTTATGTACTATTTTCCATATAGAGTATATTACAGCGCTACTCTCAAATATTGGAGATTATTAATAGTGTTTCTGTACCTGAAAGTCACAGCTATACCACTTCCCATTCTCATGTCAGCTGCAACACAGTGGGCCAGAGAGTATTCCTTAGGGGCTTCAAAGAGGTTGCCATCAATTTCCTCAACTATTTTGTAATCTCTAAACCTACTGCTACCACCCATTCCACCTGGAAAAAACCCTACAATGTCAAAAAGAAAATATATACACACGCACACGTGTGCTCTCTCTCTCTCTCATCTGTATGCACTCAATGGTTTTCAAATACTCAGCCCCCTGAAGGAAACAGGCTCTCTAGAAGAAAAGTTAACATTTTTGGAAATTTTAAGTGCATCAGAAAGAACCAAAAACTGACCATGTGTTTTATAGAAGCCACATTCCATATCATCATCATCATGGGTTCCACAGCCTATTACAGGCCTTGACCGCCCCAACAATGCGCTTCCATTGGTCCCTATGTACGGCTTTCCTTTTCAATCACTGGACTCCAAGAGCTTGAAGATCTTGTTCCACACTATCAACCCACCTAATGGGGAGTCTCCCTCTCTTTCCTGTCCTTCTATATTGGTAAAATTTCTTTATATTTTTGTTTTTGGCCAGAGAAATGTAACCACCCAAAACAGATATCTCATATGCAAGAAATAACGAGACTTGAATTTTAGTTCAGAGTTAGTGCTCTACTGGTGGTGGTGGTGGCCATGGGGAGTTTAAGCCCCTCACCACCCGACACCCAAACCAATGTGCAGTATGTGAAGATACAATGGGGAGCTCTAAACAAAAATGTATGCACTTTTTAAAAATAGCTGATAATACTTTTGAAATTAATCATTATATTCAGAGGAAGTAATCTGATCACTCAAAACATGATCACTTCTGCTACAAGACTGATCTTTTGCATTACGACAGTCTGTAAATTAGTAAGTGGTTACCAACATTACCCCAAAAATGGAAGCAACAGATTCCTTCAAAATGTAGTAACCAGCCAAAAGTGCAGGGTGAGTCTCATCTCAGAAGACAGAAACATAAATTGTCACCAGCATGAAGACCTCAAATCCCACTTTTGCTATATGTTGTTCTTATAGTAGCAGGAACTTTCAATTTAAAATCTTAAATGGTTTATTACCTCTATCATCTGCATTATGACACCGACTTCTGCTGTCTGGTTCTCTCCAGTTGCGATTGTCATCACATTGACTTCCTTTCTTGTAGTTCCTCTCTTCCCCTTCTCTGCTGCGGTTGTCTCTGTCTCTTCTTTTATTCATCTGCCTACTTCCACTTCCTCCACTTTCATCACACTCTCTATTAGGGACCGGAGAAAGCTACATCAGACACAAACACTCCTTCCTTTCTCTAATGTGCAATTTTTTTTTAACCCTTTGGAAGTCACCTGGTAGCTGTATCACTAGTGAAAGTTAAATTTATATTTATACACGGCGCTTACAGAGTCCGTGGGTTTCAGTTGGTTCTCAGAATAAATAACAAATATTTTCACGAAGGTTATTAAAGTAATTACATTTGTTTTCTTTTGTTGGCTGTTTGGAGGTAAAAGCTGCACTTTTAAATACTAATTGAGTTTTGAATATTAAAGAGTTAAATCTATCATGAATAACAAACCTAAATGTATGACGTGTTACCAGAGTCAAAAATGTTGTAGTATTAAATATGAGGAAAAATGTTCTGGAATGCCAAACTGGTTCAAGATCATTGCACTGGTTCCAAGTTCACAACCTGCATCAGATTTCTTAGTATCTGCACTAAACATAGTGATTTTGACTCAACTCATTAAGGTTTGGTTTATGGAATGGGATGGCTAAGAAGTACTCACCAAAAAGAATTAACTTTGCTCCATTATTACACGTACACATTGCTCATACTTTGTATACAGTGGTGAAATGTTACTAGGACAATAGTACTGAGCAGTGCAAATCCTACAAACCTCCCTTCTTTAATACACTAAAGTAAATTTATGGATAGTACTTCGTATAAAAATTCTGTATTGCAATACTGTGGGTCTTCTAGTGTCTTCTAAAACTTTAAATGTGCACAGAATACGTCTTGGAATGTGGTTCATGACCGGTAACTGCACTCTCACATTACAGGAGTGGAACGCATGTAACCAAACTTCAGAAAGAGTACTAAATCTCATATTACAATTAGCTCAAATACAGAGGAAGCTGAAGTGTACCACATGTCTGAACTTTCCAAAAATTATTAATGCTTGTGTATCATCAACTGTGCACTGTTGCTTTTGCATGCTTCAGTTGGCTCTCTCTCTCAGTAGCATACCACCACAGCATTAACAAGTCTGACCATCAGTCCCACAGTACAAGAGTTTGAAACCCTTATCCCCAAATGATAAATGTTAACTCAGGTCTGCAGTACAAGAGTTTGAAACCCTTATCCCTAAAAGATAAATGTTAACTCAGGTCTCTTAAGGTTTACATGCTTTTACAAGTAACAATTCGAGTCTGGACAATAATTAAATGACCCTAAACTGCATGCTTAAAAGTTTTTGCAGTCAGATTGATGAACAAGATAGAAATACATCGTGTAAAATTGTTTTCTTGGACTTTATCAATTGTCTAGGTGTAACTAAGACCATGTTTTGAACACTGGTACTACTTGTCTTCAGGTGAAAGGAGGGCAAAAGCCTACACTGTTGGGCTCCCTGCTCATACTAGTTTCAAGCCCCAACAGAAATAACATTAAAATGCCACTTATAAAACCTGCTTATGATCATCATCTGCAGCAGGTAATTCATAAATGTTATACTGGCCCATGTATCTCTTTTGTAACCCAAACCATCTGTAAGAGATGATACCTACATATCCAATTTGGCATTAAAAATTTAGAACACATCTTATACAGAGTCATTAAAAAGTCATGCAATACATTCCTGGCACATTCTATTTGTTAAAAAAATGAATTACACTGAAATCAGAAATGTTAAAAAATGCTGCAAATGTCTATCGTGTTTTCAGAGTGTTGGAAATGTACACCATGCTCAGCAATGCATCCATTTTCTCTTTTACTCATGTCTGATGAAGCCTGGTGAATAATTCCTGCAGTGACATCTAAAATGCACAGCTCAATATTGTTGATTTGTTTGGCACAGGAGAATCCCTAAACACATTCTGACAAATTAAGTGAGATGCCAGGCAATGTTCAACAATTAGTCACTATGCTGGTGAAAAAAGACATCCTTGCACTTTCAAGCAAAGATATATATTTTAATATGGGTTGTGTGACTCAACATATATGTAAGCTTGCAGCTCAAGAATGGATAAAACAACTTGTTCCAAAATTGGCATTTTTATGCATTGAAACCAGGAAAATGATTAGGAAAAGTCAAAACTAAAAAAAGTCTTCAATTCAAGTGCTGGTAAGTGCAACTAATCACTATAAAAAAATTATGTGAAGACCGAAGTCGTTTCTTTCAGAAATGAGATTAAAGGAACAAAAACCAGCCACAGAAAATCATGGAAAGCCAAAGGAGCTTACTACTGGTCTCTGAGGAATATTCTTTTCATGAATTTTTCGCAATCCACATAGATGTGTCAGTTCCTAGGCTATGGGGTTAATTTGTGTTTTTCAGTAGAAACCCCTGCTTCATACTTGGATAGAAGCTTCTGCACTTCTCTTTCAATTTTTAAAGCTGTATCTTTTGTGACCCATCCTTCAACTCAGACTCAAGTAGGTATTCAGCTTCTCCATACATGTGGTTTTGTCCATACACACTGTAAAATTTATCAGGTTGAAAAAACCTAATGTCCCTTTTGAATTTTAATGATTACACATAAACAGAAACCTTCAAACTTCAATGACACATTATATTTTTTGTGAATTCTGTACACAAAAATATGTAAACACCCGGCTTAGTGTGTGAATATTATAGCAATACCAAAAAATAGTAATAATAAAATATTCAATGACATTTAGTGCTGCTGACACTTCTCCCAATTTTATCAATCTACACACACACACACACACACACACACACACACACACACACACACACACACTACACAGCGCAACAACCAAGAAGACAGAAATCTTCAAAATTAACTACCTATAACTTTATGCATGTAAAACAGATTGCAACACTTTATCTATGGGTCTCTCACTATTTTGCAGCATTACTATCAATAATCCGGCCTGGTATGAAGAACCTTGAAAGTCTCTAAAACACAGTCCAAAGACACACCTATGACAGTACACAGTAATGTTTCTTTACTGCCTTTCCAGCGTGTTTTCCCTTGTCTGCATGCACTCTACACATAAACTGGTCCATGCCTTTTGCTCTGTTTTCTGTTGCAAGAAATCTGTGCGCAAAATTCCCTCTACCCACAGGATATACTGTGACTGTTCTGAAATTTCAGCTCCCACGCTACCCAGCAATCCTTCTGCCACCTTCTTCAAAAGTGACAAATATTCAGGCTTGTTTTTGATGTTTTACAGTGTCGAGTGTCACAGCCTGTCAGCCACAATGTACGATGTGTCATGTACTACATCTGTTGGGTGTGCACCATAGAGCACTTCTAATTCTAATTGCAATCTAGCACTGCATACACATCCAGTTACTGCCTCACATACAGTAGACTCTCAACTACCTGAAGGCCAATTATCCAAGAGACAAGTTTTGATTTAAAGCGGAAGAGCACTGCTATGTAAATTCAAGTATATATTAGTACTGGTAAACCTCGATTTGCGCCGGTTCAATTTGCGCCGATTCAGAATAACACCGCTTTTGAATCCAGCAAGTCAAAAAGTGAAAAATAAAATAAAATTTTACTATTATATATAACGTTCTACAATGTTTCTCGTACCGATTCTTATACTAAATCGTAATTCTTACATAGCTGATTTTGAATAAAAATTATGAATACTGTCACCCCTGCACTCATTGCTAAGTAGTTGCGAGATAATCTCCTAAAAATCCACCAACATTGCGCAACAGTGACGTGAGCATTTGCGTTCAGCCTGATAAGGGAGTAAGGAAAAATGTGCTCAGTTCGCTTCTAGTTGACACACTGAATATGCTGAAAACTGTGCGCTAAACGTGTTTGTGTTGTTGTTCGACCACTATTCTGCAGTAGCAACTGTTTTATATTTATAAATTGTAGAAGAGCCACCATGTCCGGTAAGAGAAGTGAATGTGTTGCTAAAAAGTTGCGTAGGTTTATTGCGTTAGAAGATAAGATGGACGTAATTTGTAGAATAGAAGGTGGTGAAACCCGTCGTAATGTATGCAGAAGTATGAAGTTGCCTCCTTCCACTGAGACTACCATAATCAAAAATTCATATAAAATAAAACAGTCAATGCAACAGGCTACGAGAGTAAGTGCAACGCAAGCGAGTTATAGCAGAAGTAAACTTTTAGAAGAATGGAGAAATTACTGTTGCTATGGGTGGATGACATGAATCGAAAAAACATTCCCTTGACTGAAATTGCTATCACGGATAAGGCGAAGTCAATTTTTGAGGAACTTAAATGTTTGGGTGCCGGGAACGCATGTCATTGACTTCCCATTGCTTTACATTATAAAAAGAGTTTCAATTTACGCCGGTTCGTCCAGGAACGCATCCCTGGCGCAAATCTAGGTTTACCTGTATATTGATTTACATGAAGTTGTTTAGAACACTGGAATTAAGTTGCCGCTTTCAAGGTAATAATACTGACATGTGTCGTACAGTAAGACTCTTTTGTGGTATGCAGCACACATAACTATGAACACTAAGATGATCTGCACAAAGACCAGCCGTAACAAAATAAACAACCTAAGATAGTTTATGATCCCAGCAGTGACTTGGCAGTATATGAAGCAATGATTGGTTTGAAAGGTTGTTTCAATCTGAAACAGTGCAAGTGACTAAAAATAACAGCTGAGAGTAACAATGTGTATCTGAAATGTCGAAGTCTAGTTTGGCCCCTAATTTCTGCCACACCTATAACCAGTTTGTCACAATCTTGTACATCTGTAGCAAAGTGTTTTGATGCACTCATAGCAAAAAAATCAAGTGGCTTCTGATCAGAACATGGATGCCAGTTGATGGGACCCCCATAAACAATGCAGCTGCTCAAAAAATGGTTCAAACAATTATAAACACGGCATGAAAAACAGGAATATCAAAATACTCTGCATTAATAGATCATGCCATCCCATTTCAATTATCAATATTTTGCCATCAAAAGTACTGTGAACCATACATAAATGCAACATGTGCTCTATCTTGTTAGGTTAACAATGGCTCCACCATATTAACATATAAACAATTCAGTACTAAGTACCAAACTTTGACACGGTTGTGAACTGGACAACTGTTTACTCCTCAAAATGATGTCCTAACAACCCCTTAAAGCATGGCTGTATGGCTTTGAATCACCAGGTAAATGGTACGCATGCAGTCACTGAATGAAGTACATAGGCTCATGATATAGAGTGCTATATTTTAACTTTACGGGTAAATGAACAAAGAAACCACGTTGAAGGAAAAAATGTGCAATGCTGGATGTAAAACAGCGAAGCATCTACTACTGTTTACGACTGTAATCTTGAGACTTGTGGGGGTGAGGAAGTGGGGTGGAGGAGGAAAGATAGCGTCAGCCTTAAACGCTTCAGACTTCCTGCATTCCTTGCAAGTCTTAAGATTACAGTTGCGAACAGTACATTCTCATATGTTAGGTTGCAGGGGGCATTTAACATCTCTAAATTATGAATAGGAATGTACTAACTAGCAAATATAACGTGAAGCAGCAAAGTATCCTGAAGCAACAGCAAAATATGAGAAACGTATGCAAATATTTTGTTAACTGTGTGTGTCAGTCCATTACTTCTGTCCTCATAGTAAAAAAACATAAAATTCTGTACTAGAAGTTAGTAGCCACTGGTAATGAATACTTGTCTAACATGCTTCTGAATAGATGGATACACTACACTCACTGTTGTGCACCTTTAAACCGATTTCCTTCGTCTCCATGTTTTGAATGTCCTGTAGAGCCTTTGCTTTCTACTACACTGATATCCATCATGTCATCATCCCAATCCCATGGGAGATCATTTATAGGAGTATCATATCTTGATTGCTGTTAACAGAAATACATCATGTTTACATATGCAGCAACTGATTTCTGCAATTTAATTTTAAATTTAATCAGTGTTTGTAAGAGGTGGAAAAAGGTTAGGTAACAATTAACCATTATCAAGTGCTCCCTCTGGAACCATCAACATCAGTGACTTGAGGATATGACCTGATCTCATTATATAATTCAACCGACTTAATGATACAAGTAACATGCTCGCTCACTCTCTCCCCCCCACCCCTCCATAGATCTAATTACAAGACGTGGAATAAGTCACAGGATACAAAAGACACAAATGAGTATAATTTAACAATAAAGGTTTATATTCTGTTGAAATTCTGCACATTATCCACCGTGTGTTGTTTGTCATAACATGATGTCCAGTGATGGTGACTAGCTCCTTCTAAGGGACCCCACAGGCTAGAAACCCCTTGTCCCCCATATTTTACCTGATGACAGAGCCAGTCCCTGAAATGTCATGTTATGACAAACAGACAGTGGATAGAGTCCAGAATTTCAACCAAGACTATAGCAGTACACCATCATAAATATCCTTCAGAATGATCATAAAGGTTTAGCATAGAAATATTAATAATTTACTTCAAACCCACTGCCATATAGCAGATATGTTAATGATTTATACTATGTAAGTAAAGTAACTTCCACAAGGTTCTCAAGTCCTTAAACAGTGGAAATTCCTCAGAAGAATAAATGTCTGTGTATTTAGGCACCTCTTAAATGCTCCTTTAAATTTATCTTTTATATTAAAAATAGATTTTGAAGCCACTACAGTAAACACCTTTCTGAAAACACAAAAAGGTTGGCAACTGATTTATGAAGATGATTCTTATTCCTTGTTTTCACACCGTATCTTCTACTATAAAAATTCGTGATTTGTCGTCGTCAAAAAATGACGTCATCAACAATGTCAACTTATATTTCTTTATACTCGGCATTGTTGTGTTCCACAACAATGCCGAGTAAACAAATAATGCTTCACAACAACGAGATCACCAAGTACCAAGACAGGCGCATGATCACTGCTCCAGAAGCAGCACATCGCCTCCAAACAGCGACATAAGACTATTTAAGAAATGAAGAAAAGTGAAAGAAGACGTTACCAACACCAACAAGTTAATCTGATACTAATAATAATACTCATTCAAGTCATACAGCTCATTCAAGGGTTAAAACACTTGAATAAGACACTAAACTAACTCCCCCGGATGGGGGTTGGTCAAGTGTTTTAACCCCCCTGAGGGTGTGTTGATTCTTGATTATTCTCAGTTACACACATATAGTGTACCAATTTATAAATCCAAACACCAATCCTAGGGTCCAATTCCAAAAACAAAATATTATATAATAAACATAAAGGAAGTAGAGTAATATGAATCCCACAGCACCCAATTTACATGCAATAAAACTACATAAAAATACCCATTCAACCAGCAGATAAATGGAAGAACTCACCAGCATACAACATTGCAAAATTGTTACAAAATCAGTAAAACACTGATTCTCCCTTATACATACATTAATAATTCCAATTAATTAATGATCTAAATAACACCCTAATGTCAGATTACATTCATTTTATATAAGACTTGTATATAAACAAACATTCCACAAGATACAGCACACACAATTCACAACATATAAAAAAATTGTGGAAAACTTAGTTTATGACATACAAAACATACTACAAATTATATTGCAACAAAATTACTTCTAATCTGATATGCAATACTATAAACAAAACAATAGCTCAGCAATGGGTGGACCAACATCAGCAATAATAGCATAAACAAACATACAACATTTAGAACATTGTCAAGCATAAAATTCACTAATAAAATATAATTTATTGTAAATTTTAGGTGCATGGATATCCTTCTTATCGCTATCGATGGAAATAAAACACAAATTAACATGAAACGCAATACACCCTACTACAAAAATTACAATAAGAAAAAAGGAATGAAATACTAAATTTTTTGACTTGATTATACATCAAAAACACAACACATTGAACCTAACAAGATTTACGAATCCCACATCCAGTCAGAATATTCACAACAGCTCACGTCATCCAAATGAGCATAAACGTAATGAGGACATAATCAAAATCAGGACTTCACTGGCCAACTTCCAATGTGTCTGTTTCCAGTACACTGAATCTGTTGCTCAAACCTTTGGAAGCATCGTCAGCAGAGAACCCACAGTTTCTGGATTTTGAATTTTTAGGCTTACTCCATTATTCAAATTTCTGAAATTCCTGCCATGGTGTGTGTTATGAAATGTTTTGAAAATGTCAATAAAGATAATCCTGAATAATTGCTACAAACACATATGAACTGAGCTTCCAGCACATAACAGACACTGTCAATGCTGCTGTGAAACAAGGGGCGATGAATAGAGTGAGGAGATTCAAAGCTAAATTCATACCATCATTAGTAGTAGCCTACACAATTCACAAAATCAAGACCATTATAAACTATTTCTCAAAATAAATGTCAGCTTTAAAAGAAAATAAAGGGAAGGAATTTGTAAATTTCATTGACATTACACAATGAGATTATAAAATTACAGGGAGTCGCGTTCAAAGCAAAATGTTGCAGATCTGGAAGCCAGTGACAGATGAATTTTGTTTTGCTCTAAGTGTTTATGCTAATAGAGATTATTCAAAGGCTTGCAGCAGACAAGTCACAGGTCAAGTTACGTTGAAGACATAGGGTGATTTTCATGAAAATGTAATGTAAATGAATGTAGGTTCTAACAAACAAACATACCACAGACATCCACAGACATCATGGGGTGCATGTGTAATCAAACAAGCACATGACAAACTATGATACGTAATCCTGTAACATGCAACCAGATGAAACGTGAGTCATACTTAAAAGATTCTTCCTTATTTCCTAGGTATTCAGAATTCATGGCACTTATTTGTTAAGAGTGAAGGACTAAGGAAACAATATGAATAACTCTAAATTATGAGGCTGATGAGGTTAAGATAGGAAGGAATGATTTACCTGACATTGTAGCAGGAAAATTAACCAACACAACCTTTCAAAAAATCCAATTAATAAATATAATTCCAGATACCAAAATGTATTATTATGAACACAATCAATGATACTACTTTGTTCCTAAAGAAGTCCGAAATCAAGAGGAACATACGCAGATATAGCATGGTCATACATGTTTTATGACCATCAGTTTTAGCCTCTATACAAATACATATTACCACCATTATATGTGCATATCAAGTTTTCACTTAGATTATGCTGTTGGTTTCATATTAAAGCCACTGGACACAATTTTACTGAACTGGTCTATGTTGACATGTAAGTGACTGTTTAAAATAAGTATATTCATATATATTGTATGTCGCATTCGGTGGACTACTGGTTAGTGTGCTCACCAAACCCAGCCGAGGTCGATGGATTTTTAAGGGTCATAAAAATCTGTGAAGCCGGCAGTCCCATGTCGTAGATTTACGTCATGTAAAAGAACCTTACGAGCATGAAGCAAGATGTTTCGTAAGCAAAATTCAGCTTACATTTCTCACCCAAGTCTCTCCTGATTCACTATTAGATGGCTCTAGCAGTCAAATCAGGACTGAGTAAAAACTGTGCAGAGACAGTGGGCTGGTCACTCACTACTCACATATGCACACTTAAGAGACTAGAAAACCTCAGAAAAGGAGGCGGCATGGACCCACAACTGGGTTGTAGAGCCAAGGAAGAAGATATTCCAAATCTTCAATCTAATTAACATTTTGCAATAAACAAGAATTTCATATAAAGCCACAGAAATATCATGAAACACTCACAGAATAAACAAATGACTGTTTCTCTATTCATGGCCTACTATACATGTTTAATATACAAAATGGTAAGACATATTTGTACACTGACAATGGTATCTGGAAATAGCAAAAATGTTGTAGTTTTCTTCTCATCACATAACTTTTACTTTTATAGGCATCAGTATGACACCACCTCCTGTTTGCTTGCAATTTCAATTACCTTACAGAATTCTACATACAAACCTTTCAGAAAACAAACATCATGACATGCCTTCTAGGTGTCATGCTGACCTGATGCCTGGTGTTTGCTGTCTTGGACTGACAAAAATATTTAAATTGAACTTACCACAAAAGGCACACTACTGGCTTCTTTCTCAGCACTGTTCAAACGCTGTCTTGAATGTTTCTGACAAGATTCAATGTGAGACTTTGGTTTAGACTCTACTTCATCTGCTGGCAGTCCTTCAGATGTCTGAAGCTCTTGTCTATCAAATTCTGTTGCATGTGCACTGTACTGTTCCTTTAACTTTTGTATATAATATTCTCTCTTTGGATGAGTCTCTATAATTTCCTTCAGAAGTAAATTTTCACGTTTACATTTAGCACATGCATATATGGCACTTATTTCAAACCCAAAAGTGCTACTACTCTTTGTCAGAAGTTGCTTGTCTGCTCCGCGATTTTCAGATTGACTTGAGAGTTCACTTTGTGTGACAGATGCTTCATTTCCAGCGACAACCAGATCAGTATAGCGAGGCTCCAACACAGTTCCCTCTTTCTCAATGTTCGTATCCAAACATGCCATGGGTACTTGTTGCTCTTGGTCACGTCCTGTGCTATTCTGTCCGTAACTTTCATCTGAATGTTTTGAATGGCTCTTTCCATAACTTTTCTTTTTACTATGTTGTGGAGAAGTTTGTAAATTTGTCACATTATTGGCTCCTCTTCCTTGACCTTTATCCTTCTTACCAGAAGAGCCCCTTTTTTGCTGTTTACTCATATTGTTTGTCTTCAATTCTACTGCTATATCTGCAAAGTAAAACTTGATTGTACACGTGAAAAATACAAACCTATTTAATAAAATGCCTTCAGAATTAGCTCTCTGATAAATCTAACATTTTACAATGAAGTACACAACAAAAAGTAAAAACTCAAAGCCTGCAAATGTAATATTTAATTGACCAAGTAGATTAGCTAAACATTACATTAGAAAAAAAAAGACATCATATTTAAATTCTAAACTAATTGCAATCATTAAGGCAGTCTGCTGTTAGTAAACAACAAAGGAGCTTATCTAAATTGTCCTTTGTTACTATGAACATGTCATATAGTGCACATAACAATCTACCATCGCACTACAGATAATCAGACAGCATAGTCAGATATTATTTGATAATTTCATTAAATACTCATTACTTTGAAATAAAAATTTCAAACAAAAGTTGTACATCTCAACCAGGCCTGTACCTTCTGTCACATATTAATAAGCTCTATAACGAACCAATTTCAGTGAAGAAGCACTTAACACTGAACTGATATGAATAAAAAATAAACTTGCCAGACACATATAAGTGTGATTCTCCCTATGTAATTACATGCTTCTGTCACTGACTACAGTTCACCTTTGGCTGTCAGTTCATCCTGGCACAAGACTCGAATAATTCCATAAATATAATAAAAACAACTTAGCTACATTGTAAGTGGTGCCAAGGAAGTTGTTCCTGTGCTCTCTCTCTCTCTCTCTCTCTTTACAAGTTATTATTTCAACACATCAGGTTCATTAGTAAGTGCTGCTAATATTAGCCATTATGTCATAAATGTAGGCATTTAGTCTGTTTCACCTACTACAGAATTAGGCAGATTCTTGCACTTACAATTCCAAGGCCAACATGTATGCATATTCACTGCCACTTTTAGTAAGAAATTTAAAAAAAAAATCCTGTGCTTGCTAAACAGAACATGGATAAAGTAGGGGTTAGGGCACAATATTCATGAGACTTGCATTTCAAAATCAGCAGCAGCAAAAGCATTTCCAGTAGCTCTTACAATGTAAGTAAGTTCACTGACTTCACGAAGTAATTCTACGCTTGTATCAAGATTACTAGGTAACACTCGACCAATGGCCAATAGTGATGTTTTATTTTCTGTTGTCTTCCTACTGTTGATCATTTTTTGTTTAATTTAAAAACAGCTCCGTCAGTATAGTGTCTGACTACAAACTGAATGGACAGGATTAGATCCTGACAGGGACAGAAAACTTTTCTTCCAGCCTATGCATCCAGACCGGCTCTGAGACCCACCCAGCCTCCTATCCAGTGGGCACAAAGGGCCCTTTTCCAAGGGGTAGAATGCAGCCAGGCTATGAAGCTGACCACGCCCATCTAGTGCTGAGGTTAAGAATGGGTATAAGTTATACCTCCTCTCACCCTAAGCACCTACATAGCATGGAGCGGGCCAGCATTCTTATTTATATTTATAAAGTGCGGCCAGGGAATGGTATTGACCACTCACCTATATCTAGTGCTGAAGTTAAGAATGAGTAGGAGCTATTCCTCCTTTCACCCCAAGTGCCTACATGACGTATAGTGGGACAGTTTTATGAAACTTTTACCCATCACAACCTAACAATTTTGACTTGGCTGTAAGACCTTAGCAAACACCACAGCACCAAAGTAGTACACAATGTGATTTACATTTCACGCTACAACTGCTGCAGAATACTTGTACATTGTGGGTGGGTTTTTGTTAGAGAGAGATATTTTGTATATTGTAACCGGAAAACCAAATATTAAATCATAACTACAAAAAAATTGGTAACCTAAAGAAACAGTGGTATGCACAGTTCAACTATCTGTTCACACCAGAAACTCATCTGTTTGCTATGTATCCATTTCTTATGACAGAAGCTACTTGTGGGAGAAGATCCATGTTCACAATTAAACAAAACTTAAAGTTAACAAAAATTCTAAATATTCAGTTAACAGGACATTCATAACACCTATCTACTTACCAACAATGTCTCCCAACCACAAAATTTGAATCACCACTGAAATAATTGTTTACTTCTCTGATGGGTCAGCAGATAAATTTGAAACAGAAAAAATTTTACATATTAAAATATTACATGCCATAATAAAGACTTTCAAGTGCCAGCAGAGTTGCACTTCTTGTGACATATCGTGGGAGTGCATGTGGGGTAGATGGCACTCAAGAAATTTTAGGAGTGACAAAGTAACGACACCCTACCAATGCATGTATGGGCTCAATCCAGTATATGCAATCTCAAATTTTATTTTGTAATAGAAAATGAATACAAAGACAAAAAGTAGGTTCTGTTATCAAGTCAACTTGTAACAGCTGAAAATGTAAGTAAAATTCGGGAGCTCTAACATCTGTACAACAATCATACTTCTGCATTAAGCATTATAGTCAGCAAACTAAACACTTCATTTATGCTTGATCAAGATTAACGGAGTCTCTTCAGTGCCTCACTATTCAATGCTTTGTCTGTCCTGCCAATTGGCTCTATACTACCGAAGTACATCAACTACAAAAATCACTCAAACAGGTATCAAAATATACTCCTCTGCAAAGTACTTTGCTTTCTACTTCTCACAGAACCCAACAGCATCAATCAGAACCAATCATTGAATTGCTTAACAAAATGCTAAATTACCATATCTGTAGCAAAACTTGGTGAATACGTCGAGACTGTGGCAGCAGACTTCTTGCCGATTTAAAAATGGTACTTCGGAATCTACTTTCATCTATTCTTGGACATTTCAGCTCAATGCCATAAACAGAACCAGCTCTAATGTTAAGAAATATATGACAAAACACCCTAACCTAAATAAGCAAACTGAATCACACCCTAACCTAAATATGCAAACTGAATCACACCCTAAGCAAACTGAATCACACCCTAACCTAAATATGCAAACTGAATCACACCCTAAGGCCAAAGACAGCTGCTAAAAAGACATGGAATAAACCGAAGTAACAAAACCAATGAATGTACACCATACATAACACAACAGTTTTCCCTCGCAAAGTCAATCTTACCTGATTTTATGTTTTCACAGTTATTCATTAGACACTGATACTACTTTTGAGTGCTAAACCTGTGTAGAATTTGGCTTGTTGCCCACGTTCTCAGCATCATATTGAATCTTATCAGGGCCAAAAAGTAAAATTATGGGAAGTAGATGGTTTATATCAGAATGGAAATCCATGGCAGCACAGTCCTCTGAAACGTCGACAACGAGCCAACACCTATTTGGTACCAGATCCAAAATCTGGATCATTCGACGATTATAATTTAAAACAAGTTTCAAAAACTGGAAAAACCGATATCAAAATCATATGCAACGAACTCCACTGCCACATGTACCTAAGCAGAGAGCATGGGAATCCCAGCAATAGTCAGGTAGGGCATATTTCCGTCAACGGAATAGTAAACGAAAACAACTTCCTACCTTTCAATCTGAACTAAACACACTAGTTTTATTCAGAAAATATCCTGCTCCCACTTCTTGCACGTATGTACAACAGCACAAAGTTTAAGGAAATACCAGACAACACTATAACATTCTCCTTTACGTAATAACACATATCCTTGTGATACAGGTATGATGCAACCAAACAAATGCGGGAAGTCCCGGAGACTCCTCCAATCACATCACAGACCTCAAAATACTTCTTTGTTAGGTTATCCGCGCTTGATACCGAACGGTAGAGAACAGTGTCATCTATCAGCAATCACTGAAACAATGCAAATTTATACAGTAGTTGTTACTAGAATAGAAATTTATGAACCATATGAATACATAAGAATATACAATTACAAAATAACAACACAAAACGATTTAAATTATACAAGGAACGTACGAAATTACCTTGACTCAAACACCGCACCATCACTGTTTCTGAACACATTGCAACGTTAGTAATCGCTGCTATCGTGCGGGGAAATACTATACTGCCGGAGGGATATTCCGAGTTCAATCTTACGGTTGGTGCAACTGTAAGAATGTAAATAAGCAAGGAATTGTGCACAGTGTGCATATTAGTTCTGATTTACTTTAGTCAGTAAATACTGTCCTTTCTTTCCATCATTTACATTGTCCGTTGCACATTTGCCATTCACAATTTTCGTCCCGGACATAGAACATTGATCACTTAATGGTGAAAAACGAGCATTGCAATACGTGTCGTTATGTGTCTGAGTTCGTTTTATGGTATTTGCTGTAATGTACAAGGAGGGAGATCATTTACGTGCTATATATAAATGATCTAAAGCTCATAGGGAGAAGTGAGAAATTTTTTTAAAAAGTGCATCAACATTTTAAAACATTGAACAACTCATAAAAATGAAGACTGGATTGAAAAATTCCCCAGGAATTCTTTTGAAAAGTGGCATTATTTATAGAAAACAGCACACAGGGAAATTAAACTAAAGAATTGAAACCGTTGAAATTGTTTAAGTATTTCAGCGTAGAAGAAAATCATAAAATAGAACGTGCAAATTATAAAGTGAAGTTGAAGAAGGAGTGTGTAAGAAGACTAAGATTGGCTTAGAACGGATACCTAAGCACAAAAAATAAAATGCAAGAAATTGGTTCCTTGTCAATACCAATATTTAGATGTGTTAACTGGCGTCATGAATAAATACAAAAATTGGGTACCTTCTTTCGATTCTTGGTCTTCGGAGCGTGCATTTGTGAGTAGTGAGTGACGAGCCCACTGCCTCTGCACAATTTCTACTCAATCCTGATCTGACTGTTAGAGCCATCTAGCAGTGAATCAGGAGAGACTTGGGTGAGAAATGGCCGCTGAATTTTACTTACGAAACATCTCGTATCATGCTCGTAAGGTTCTTTTACATGCCGTAAATCTACGACATGGGACCACCGGCTTTACTTCCCCTACGAAGGAAGTTGTGCTACGGATTATCATCACCCTTAGGGCGGTATCGCACTAGGATGCTAACGAGAGGCCATGGCGCAGAAGCCAGCGTCTCGGCCAAACTCAATGCATTAATTTAGTAGTCATATATCGCACCTGGCATCCGTCTGGCAGCGCTTCCAACCAAGATGCCAAGTTCAAATGCTACTGGCATCGCTGCCACGGCCAAGGCCAAATCAACATCACATGACAGTCTGGCCAGTCCATTGACGTCCGTGCGTGAA